GAGCATGTAGGCGCGGCTCACCTATCCATGATTGAATCCACATCTGGAGTCGCCGCCGAGGCAAGCTGTAGCCTGCTCGCTCGACCTCCAGAAGGGTCTTGAAGCGCCTGGTGACTCCCGCGAACTTCTTTAACTTGGCATGCTGGCGCCTAGAGGAAACCGTCCGCTTGGTGCGAGTCGCCCTCGCTAGACGTCGTCCGCTCCCCAGGTCGATCCCGAGATATGCGGCCTGTTTGGCGACCTGCGCGACGATGCCCCTGCTGCGGAGCCTCTGAACATCCTCGCCGTGTCCATGTCCGAGAATGTGCTGGTGCCCCTGGGCGCAAGCTCTAGAGAGTCGTCGTGGAGGGGGTCGCTGGCCGCCGCGCCGCCGTTGACGAGGGCTTCCTCCGCCGCGGCTGATGAATCGGCTGCTCCCCGTGAGAGGTCGTCTACCCAGAGCCGCTCCGAAAGTAGAGGGTGGGCAGTGGCGAGGGCTTCCATTACCCGATTCGTCATGCAGCGAGCGAACCTCGCGCCGCTCCGCAACCCCTGGGTAATGGAGCGGGTGGCTTGGAAGGCGTCCAAGGTAGCGTCGAACTGAGCAAGTGAACGTGGGCCCGTGGAGGCCCGGGGCTCAAGAAGAAGTGCGCGCGCTGGAACTACGTACGTCCGAGCCCCTTTGACGAGGATGGGCAACTCGATCATGCCATAGAAACTCTTGGCATCGCACAGGGCGTGGCCGCTTGTCATCTGGAGACGGGCGCGCAGCTCTTCGGCGAGGGTCCTTGGTAGGCTCCCGAAAAGCTGAGTTCCCCCCCCATGGCAGCGCCCCAAGAAGAACCATTATCTGATGGCCAGCCCCGAACAGGCTCTGCACGATGGGTTCACGTACCAAGGACCAGGCTCTGCACGTAAGACAGACCAGCCCTAGGATCCTGTCTCCTGAGCTCCTCTTCGGGAGCCAGCGACCGAGAACTGGCATCAGTTGCCGCGGCCATGTCACACAATCCTCGAACACCAGGAAGTGAGAAGCCAGAGAAGCAAGAGCGGCGTCAGGCAGGCGAATGAGATCCATAGGAGACAGGTGATCAAGCCCTTGTCCAGCTCTGGGCTTCATCGCCCGTAGCGCCCTGCGAATATCAGAAAACGAACTAGGAGGAAAATGACATCATGCCTGGCGACCTCCCTGGTCTTTTTCAAGGTGGACTGCATCTTCGCCATGCTCATTGGGTGTTGGGGGGTCCAAAGCTTGTGCCAGTTCCGAGCCTTGGCGTTTATGGCGCCGCGAGGATGATGCAAGACGCCGTCGGCCGTGTAGGCCTCGTCCGTGGAGAGCGGTTCCCCCTTGGATGCCTTGAACAAGGCGCCCGCCCCACCGTGCATAGTTATCCATTTCTTGAAATCTGCCAGCGGGGATCCCAGAGCTCTGGCCTGGGTGCGCTGCGTGGCGCGTGCCAGCTCGTCCTCACTGGCGACTAGGGTGCGTCCGAAAGCTGGTCAAGCTGGCTGAAACGGCTCTCCCACGCGGACCAAGGGGTGTCGGTCTGGGTCTTGTCCACTGAAGTGGCGATTCTTGGTGGGGATTGGTTGAGCAGCTTGATGCCGCGCGCCGCGAGAGTTGCAACCGGGGGGGGGGGGGGGTCCATTCCCGCGCCTGGCGCGGCGACTCAGACGGTTGACAATGGTGTGTGCGCGGGCCCACCAACTGAAAACCGCGTCCAAATACGGCATATCCCGACCGTGTTCGGACTGCTGCACCTGGCAAGCGATTAGTTGAGGGCCCTGCGGGCGAGATGGCGTCGGCCCATGGTCGAGCTGGTGGTGCATCTGGCAGGCCCTCTCGACCGTTGAAATCCATGCGCCGAACGCCCCGCTGACTGGAAGTACGTATCCTCTCCCGACGTGAAAGGCGGCTGACTGCCTAACTGGGGCCCGATCATCCGAGAGCGTGGTGGGTGCGAGCCCGAACGGCGCTGGAGCCGAGTGCCACGCGGCTGCGGGGGGATCGAAAGTGGGAGCAGCATCTGTCTTTTCGACTCGGGGCTCGGAGATGCGGGCCTCAGGGGCGTCTCGCTGGGGGTCGACATATCATCCTGTGACGTCTTCCTGGCATCAGATCGGGGGCATTCACAGAACTCAGTGGGAGACCCCTGCAAACGGGAGGGGCATCCCCATTAGGGCCCAAGGGGGCAGAGGAGGGGGGGCGAGGGGCAGCGGTCTCAGCGAAATTTGGCCCATCGGCCCACGGGTCGCCATGAATCCAGGAGGCGCCCGCCCTGGAAATCCATTTCGGGGGTGGGGGGGTCGCTAGAACTTACCTGACTGGAATTGCCTGTGCTGGCTGTAATAGAAGCTCCGCCATCCACCTTTCTGCCCTCACCCTCCTCCAGCAAGCGAGTCCCCGTGCAAGTCCCGCGCAAAAGAAGCATGCTTTTCTCGGGCCTCGGCCTGTCGGGTGGCGGGCTCAGCACGTGCGCGGGGGGCCTTCGAGCCAGGCGGGCTCTGGGCCTTGGGGCGCTGGATCTGGGAGAGACGGGTGGGGCGAAGGAGGGGTCGAGTGATGAGCTGGGCGCCCTGACCTCGCAGCTGGAGGGCTAGGGCTGAGCGGGGCTTCCACGGCGCATCTAGAATGGGGTGCAGGCCAAGCATATACGGGAGGGCCGCTTGCGAAGCGATGGGGTAGTCGATCAAAGAAGCGCCTGGTGATCCTACACCTGCGCGCTCAACTCGCGTCTTCAACCTGCCCCCCTTCCCCCCCCCCGATTTTGGACCCGCAACCACTCCTCTCGAGCTCGTGTGAGTGTGTGTGTGTGGGGGTGTGGGGGTGGGTGGGTGGGGTGGGGTGGGGCGGGGTGGGGTGGGGCGGGGTGGGGTGGGGTGGGGTGGGGTGGGGGGGGGGGGTAACATCCCCCGAGGCGACCCGAGGCAACTGGAGAAGTTGGAGAAGGGCCCCCAGGCGAGAGAAGCGACGGAGGTTGTCGCCACCGGAACCACGCGAACAAATGCCATAAAAGGTGACAACGACAATGGCCAAGCCCTGGCGGTTGGGGAGGACGAGGGGGAAGCCGTCGGAAGAGGGAGAGCTGCCGGCACACAGAGATGAGAAGGCCTTCTCCCGACGAGATAAATGGTGCATCTGTCTGTGGTCGACGCTGAAGAAAATCTCCGCACCTTCGTTGGCGCGGTCGATGCCTGTGGCGGAGATTCTTTTCTTTCCCGAGTCACGTGCAGGATTAACGAACGAGCGAAACTTGCTGGCGCGAAAACGATTCTCACATTTGAGACTGCCTTTCCCAGCGTGGGATTCGCACCGCAAGAAGCATTGGAAAGTGCCAGACACTTCCATCTGCTGGATGTACTTCCAGCCCTTGATCCCGAGAGTGGCAATGTTTCTGAACAAATCTCGAACAACCGAACTTTCCCCTCATGAAGGTTGGCCGTCTGGACTGGAGACAGAAGCGGACTGCAGCGCAGTCCTTGCAGCATTGGAAACTGAGTCACCCGCGCGACTCGCAGCTGGTGCTGCCGAAGATGCCGAAGGACCACTTCTCGATGTGGCTTGCGTCTGCCTGGCCGACGCCGTAGACCCCCGCGAACAAAGACGAGGGCGCGGAGGAGGCCGCTCGCCCGGTGTGGCCTCTGTCTGAGGCCCTGCTGTGTCGTTGCCGCGAGGCTGCGGCAGCGCCCGCCGCGGCGCCCGGGGAGCCTCCTCCCGCTAGCGCGGCTGCTGTTGTCGCAGCCTTCGCGGTCGTCGTGCTGCCTGCAACTTCGCCTGCCGAATGCGCTCGACCTCGGCCTGGATTGCCGCTTCGTCGGGCTGCTGTTGGTCCAGCCGTTGTCTTCTCTGGCGGCGCCTCCGCTGGCTGCGGGGTCGCCGTCGTCCTGGCTGGAGTCGCTGGGGCCCCCCCTTCATGCGATCCTGCTTCGCTTTTGCGCTTCTTGGCCATGCGAGCGCGGATGCTGGACTGCATCTCGAGCATTCTCGCCCGCCAAGCTGCGACTTCGCTGCTGCGGACCGTCATCATCTTCATGGTATCGAGGAGCTCGGCCTGGGGTCGCTCGGTCTCGGCCTTCTCCGTCTCGTCGCACTCGAAGAGGCCCGTGCCCGTGCCCCAGGAAACCGCGAACAGCTAGCTGGGGTCGTCCTCCTTCTTGGGCGGTTGGACGGGGCCGGCCGTGAGCCCCATCTCTGCTGCCAGGGCCTTGGCTGCCACCCGCTCGCCGAGCTCCGCAGCCGCGAAACGGCGGGCGGTCTCCCGTTCCCGCTCTCCTGCCCGCGTCAGCTGCTCGCGGCGCCGAGCGACCTGGGCCATCGCCTGGCCATGCTTGGCGTTGGCGTCCCGCCGCGCGCCCTCTGCGCGCCGAGCCGCCTCCGCGGGGGAGACCTGCTCGGCCTGCGCAGCCGCTTGCTGCTGCTGCTGCTGCAGCGCTGCCGCAAGGGTGGCGCGGAGCACTGGACCCTGCGCGCCCTGGATCGCCTGGCCGAGGACCTGCGCCTGCGACTCGGCGGCCTTCCGCGGGGGCATCGCTAGGAGCAACTGATTGGTGCCGCCGCCGCCGCCGCCCTGGGGAGCCCCCGAGCGCGCGCCCGCGCCGCCTCCACCCTTGGGCTTGTGCAGCTTGACCTGGCGATTGCTCGAGCAAGTCCTTCCACTCGTGCCGATGGTAGGCCTTGCATGTGCTCCAGGCTCTTTCCCCGCTGCCACCCTTGGTGGCCATCCCGTAGCTTAAAGGCATTGCCCATATTCGCCGCGAGGGGCGCCTTTGCAATAGAGCGAAGGTGGCCTCGCGCCCCCCAAGCACCCATTGAAAGGTTCTGGGCACTCGGACGGACGCAAAATGCGCTCGGACCGAGATTGCTTGAGACGAGGAGTAGTAGTAGGAGGAGGAGGGGGTGGAGGAGGAGGAGGAGGAGGAGGAAAAGGAGGAGGAGGCCGAGGAGGAGGAGGGGTAGGCGAGGACTGGCGGGGAGCAGGGCGGCTGCGAGAGAGCCAGGGGAGGGCCGGGGTGCTGCGGAGGTCTACCTGCCTCAGCACGCGCAGACGCCCACGGAGCTGGCCAGGGTGGCGCTCGGTCGCTGGCTGCGCTGGCGCCGCGAGGATCTGGGCGCGCGCGCGCGCCCGCGCGCGTCCGTTTGCGCCTTGCCCGCTCGCGTTTCGGCTGACGCGCGCACCGTCTTGACGTGCCTCCGGGCGCGATGGCCGAGCTGGCCGTCGTGCCCAGATTCGGCGTGCGTCTCGGGATCGGGGCGTGGATTGTGTGTCTCTGGGGCGGAGGAAGCAGCTGGGAGTGGTCAGCCGAGCTCCTTAACGGTGTGTCTGACCTGCTGGCCAGGAGTTTAGCCGAGAACGCTGCCAGGGCGAGACTCCGTGTCCCCAGCGTCGGAGGAGAGAAATGACGACACCACCACTACCACCAAGGATGATGACACGTCCAACGAGAATCCTCGCCCTGGCTTAATCTAGCTTTACCCGGCTCAGTCCTGTTTGCCCTGGCTCACTCCCGCTGAATCCGCGGCCTACTCCTGTGTGGTCGCCCCCCAATTGGACTCGATTCTCTTGAGTCCTTCCGACGACGACCTCCCAGTAGTTTCCTCCTAACAGGAAGACTGGGGACGAAGATTGACAGCAGTTCCTTTGCATTCTGGGCAGGATTTGCTGCTGGTGCCGGCGCGGGCCTTGCTCGTTTGAAGCAGTTCTCAGAAGGCCGCCTGCCCAACCATCAGCGATTGCTGTCGTTCTTGGACAGCATATGTTGTTGGGCATCGTGCGCATGTATCCGTACCCACTTCGGGCGTCCGACCTGTTGTTAGCGCCTTCCTCCGACGGGCCCACTCCGGTTGCCTTGGGACCGCCCGTGCCGAGACCGCCCGTGGCCTTGGGACCGCCCGTCCCGGGGCGCTCCTCGACGCCAAGTCGGGCCTGTCCTTCTGCAGGAGGAGTATTCAAACACAGCAACAAATAGTCTGGGGACAATGTTTCAAGTATTTTTTGACCATTTTGGAATATTTGTTCGATTTTTTCGCCGCAAATCCGCCTGTAGGGGGACATGCCCGACCTCAGGGTAGCCAAGCATCCACCGCTGCTTCTCCCCCCGAAGGGCCCAGAATCTCCCAGGCAAGGGGACGGTTGTGATTTTTCTGGATCGGGCACCCTCGTTAATGAGGCTTCAGTTGACCGCCGACGTCCTTCGAATTTTATGTTCCCCGCTGGTTTGGGTTGTATTCGCTTGGGGTTGTGGATGTTGTCTTGAAACCGCCCCATCGGTAAAGCATGCTGTTTGTTCGTGTCGTGCGTGCTTCGCGAGCGAAGCTGTTCGCGGGTTCCAGATGTCGTTCGGGTGGATGGCTGCAAGAAGTCCTCCTGCCACTTCCGGAAATTTCCCTCCGAATGTGGTTCTATGATGCCCCGATGGTCTCCCGATTGATTTCCGATTATGCCTCGAAGTTGTTTGCAATGGCATCCCCGAAGGTTTTCGGACGTTGTGTCGATTGATTTGCGATGGTGTCCCGATGTTGTTTCTCCCGATCCCCGATCTGTGGCGGTGGATGCTTGGTACGTCATGCAATACTCAGCGTGTCAGTATCAGTAGCAGTACAAGTTGTAGTTGTGCACATGCTGGTGACAGCAAGATGCAACACCACTATGTCATGAACATGGGTGAACGAATAGTAATGAGATACGACTTCAGTGATAGGAGTCGGATGCGTGTTCACAGATACGAGCTCGTTGGAGGACACGTGGACTTTATGCATGCTCCAGCCCCTCGTCCCCCAATCTGCTCATCGTCTGCAGGCTGGTGTGCTGGAGGCACTCGCGCGTTGCAGAGCACGTGAGCTGGCCCTGGCGCGCAGGACCGAGGCAGTCGTCGTGGCAGCTGTGTCTCCTGCGGCAGCGGTGGTGTTGCAGGTGCTGGCAGCACGCTTGCTGTTTGTTTGGGGGCCGCACCCTGCCCGTGCGCCCGGGCAACGCTCCCCCACGGTTTCCAGAGCGGCCCTGCGTGTGGCGACCCGTCGGGAACCGCGCGGGCGAGTGCCACGTCTCCAGCAGCGGCGAGTCGTCCCGGCTCTCCTACAGCCCCACCAAGCAGGGTTCCGAGAAGCTTTTTGTGGTTCCCACGAAGTGTTCTTAGAACATTTCTGGCTGGGACTGTTTTGTCTTAGCACAGCGGGCTCATGTTCTGAGAACACTGTTTTTGTTCTTAGACCAGCTTGTGGGCTCTAAGAAGAAATCGTGGTTTGACTATAGGAATGCCGGGACGGTTGCTCCCTGTTCAAACGTTAGAGCCTTGGTCATTCGAGTCGTCCCATGTTTTGTTTGTGCCTGCAGGGCCGAGACGTTACAACGCGCTAAATGTCAGAGCTAGAACGTAAACCGGTGTCCTTCCCCAGACTGCAGTCGGCCATATCATGGAGAAGCTCGCTGCTCACAGGAGGTGGAGGACGAGGCGGGGTAGAGGGGGCGAGCGGTAGAGAGCGCGAGGTTAGGGCAGGCGCAGACCTTGCAGTAGCTCCTGGGGCATCTTTGCGACCTCTTGGATCGTCCGTGGCGCCTCTTGGGGCCCTCCGAGGGTTTCACAGGCGCCCCCCAGGGGCCTCCAGCTGCATTTTTGTCGGGGTTCCTGGCCACTCCCAAGCGTGCCGCGGGCGAACAGCTCAGGAGCCCGTGCGGCTCTCACCGTACCTGTTGCGAACAGCACGTCCAGATTCGCCAATTTCTTGCAAGTTCACACTCATTGTGGATCGTCCGGGTCTTTCTTTTGGGAGGCCGGCGGGCGGCAACGATCACGCACGTCCCTTAGCTGTTTTGGCCCAAGTTTTTTGACATTTGTGTTTGGACGGGTGCTGTGTCCAGGGACTTCGATCTCGAGATCACTCTGTTTGTGTTGGCTCCGAGCCATGTCAACCTCTACCCGTGTGGGTTTCATCATTGGCAAAGAGTTCGATTACGTCAACACCGACGACTCCCCTGTAGACACAGCCTTCTTGAGTGATCTCCCCCCCGCGCTTCGCACTCGACCCGCCCCTCGATTCACTTGGCCCGGCATGTCTGCCCCTGCCGAAGACCAGATCTCGGCCGACATGGCGATTGCCTGGTATGTGCACAAGCATTATCCGGACATCACGGTCGACTTCATTTTGCCCAATGATATCACATTGAATCGATTGCAATCAAATGTCTGCAATTTCATCGTCGGGTACGACATTCTCGACGCCATGTGTGAGGGAGCAGTGAAACTGGCAGTCGTCACGGACGCATTCAAGATGTGTGGCAATATCATGCCCTCATGGGAGGTGCAGGAGTCGAATCATCAAAACTCGACGTAGCCATAACATTGCTGGAATTCTGCGCGGACTTATTGTATCGGCGCTGGACCCCCCCCCCTGGCGTTTCGGCGCCGCCGTGGGTCCTGCGCCGATCCGCACAGCCCGCGCGGACCTCCGACAGGCAATGTTCTGAGGCTCCTGGGTTCGGGAGTAATGGGACTGCAAGGGCGTGGCTGAAGAGCCAGGCCGGTTTCTGTTGGCAGCGGGATTTTCGCGGTCCTGGTTCCTTAGACAGCTTGTCTGTACGGGTCGTATAGACGTGCGAGTGTAGACTTATGTTTGTACAGGTATATGCATATGTATATGTATATGTACGTGTACAAGTTTATGGTTATGCATATATATATATGTATAAATATATATGTATATGTACATTCTTGCTTCTTGCTGCTCTGAGGAGGCAATATACATGAAGTCCAGGTACATGAGGGCGGCAGCGCGACTGGGCGTGCCCATGGCTCCTACGATCTTCGCCGTCAGGGGCCAACGCGAGCCGCTGTCACTGCTGCACGAGGTCAAAGCCAGGGGCTGGCAGCAGTTTGTCACGAAGCAGTCCTACGGCTTCGGGTCGGCGGGCTTCCAGAAGTTTTCGGTGGAGGATAGAAGGTTGACAGAACCCCCACCCTGCAAAGTCGATCAGCGAATTGCACTCGTTTCGGTTCTCGAGATGGCGTTGCGTCCGCATTTATGTGGGCCTGCGCCTGCTTGGTCTGGCCCCGGATCGTTTTCACTAAAGGGGGTTCTGTTCACCCTTGACAGGAATGCGATGAGAATCCTGGGATCTTGGAGAAGTACTTCGACGTCCATGCAGAATGCCCAGAGTATGTGGTACAGGAGTTCGTCGAGGGGTTCTGCAGGAACTGGGAGGTTCGGTGCTTCTGGTTCAACGGTGAGTTCAAGTATGCCGTTGCTAACAGGGCTGCAGTTTCGTGCGCTGAAGGTGAGAAGGTTGGTGTCATCGGAGAGGACGAGATCCCGCCTGAAGCGTTGGAGGAGGCTAAGCGGATTGGCAAACAGGCTTTGGATGCACTGCCACAATTGACGACGCCCGCTGGCCAGCCCATTGGGATGACGCTCATCCGCACTGACATCGGTTGTGCCGACTCCAAGATCCATGACAAAGACACGCATTGGGACCCGGATGCGAAAACCTATTTTTTGAATGAGATTGAATACGGTGGCACTACGTATTTCCCACGTGTGCTGACGTTTGATGCAATTCCGATGTGGGCCGATATGTATGCATCGAAGGCATTCGAGATCCAGGAGAAGATGGCGGTCTTCAGCAAGGCCACCATCGACAGTCTCCAAACAACAGCAGACATTACCAACGACTCGGACTCCTACGCCTCAGCTTCTTCGGTGACCACAGAGTGAATACAGCCGATGCGTGGACTGTGTACCCTCGTGCCATGGCACGTCCGCAGGGTGCGTAGATCGTGGCGTGCAGTCACGCTGCGGCTACGTACTCGTCCAACGCTTCATCGTAGTTTGCAATTGTTCGCCACACCGTCCCCTGCAGGCACGTTACGGCTTCTCGTCCAACGTTTCATTGTGATTCGCGATGGGCTGTCGCACCGGTAATGCACAGAGTGCTTCGCGATCCAACCGACCAGTAGCATTGGCGGAACAGCGTTGCCGAGTCAGAGGCTGACACGGAATCAGCCAGTCGCCTTTAACGTGCCCGTGTTGTGAGCGTGTGCTCCTGGTTAGAACCATCAGTTTTCGCGGCCGCGACTTTTTTGTGGACATGGATCCTCGTCCGTGTCGGTTTTTGGCCGCATGATCAGGCCCATCATTTTCCGTTCATCCAGCCGACTGTTGACCATTCTGCGCGTTGTGTAGTGTATACCTGACGCAGTGTAAATACCTGACCGCTTGCTTGCTGATATCAGTTACTGCATGCTACAGGCGGTGCATTCAAATTGTTTCCGACCGTCGTGGCATGTGCGTGTTCGCGACGTGGGGATTCAAATGTGCAGTCCTCGTCGCAGGTACGTTCAGTTCTAGATCTCCATCCGTCAACATCTCCGTTGTTTCAATCCGTAGCCATTCGGGCTCAAGCTGCCTTCTTAACCCCAGGTATCAACACCCCGACTACTCGCTCGCAAGCGGAAGAGCGCCGGCTGGTAGGACACCTGGGGTTGTTTTACGTGAAGATGCAGAGCATTCCCGAGGGTGCTGAAATGGATGCGATAGCAGCGGCTTGCGCGATCGGGTGTGGCCCCCTCGCGCCCAACAGCCGCGCACCAAAGTTCATTCTTGCCTAGGATAATTCTTACATGCAGCCGAGAGAGGAGTACGGCTGGTACCGATGCTCTCAGAGGGACATTTGATCGACAAGCGGCCAGCAAGCGCACATTTTCCTCAGACGGTGATCGTCGTTCCTGATGCTGCAGCAGCACACCGTGCGCGTTTATATTGCTAAGGCCTTTTGTCCAGTGCCGCCGACCCTGGACGACGACCCCCCACGATGGAAGATACATTCGGGAAGCTCGGTGTCAGACGGCCCCAAGATTGACAACAGAAGGTTAATGCGGCGTTGGCGACACGGTAACGCCACTGGGCCCGACTGAATTCATCTTTGAACGATCGGAGCCGCGATCGATTCAAGGTTGAACGATCGACGCGGTGTCAACAACCGTTGCGCGCGCCGACTCCGCGAGAACTTGCCGTAAGCGGCTACACGAGGCCCACAAGAGGTGGTGTTGTTGCAGCAGCACGCCGTGCGCGTTCGCATTTGTCACCTGGCGCCTGCTTCTGCCCAGGGGTAGCCCTTGGCCGAGCGGTGATTTGTGCTTCGGCCCTCTGGCCCCCCCGAGCCCCCCCCCCCGCAGGACGCCCGGGGCGGCCAGAACGCGGGCCCGCCATTCCTGCTGACCCGAGGCCGTGCTCTCCGTTTTCGCCATCCTCGCCCTCCTCCTCCTCCTCGTCCTTCTCCCTCCTTCTCCTCCTCCTCCTCCTCCTCCTCCTCCTCCTCCTCTGCCTTCTCCTCCTCCTTCCCCTCCTTCTCCTCCTCCTCCTCCTCCTCCTCCTCCTCCTCCTCCTCTTCCTCCTACTCACCCCTCTCCTCCCCCCCTCCTCCTCCTCCACCCCTCCTCCTCATCCTCCTCCTTCTCCTCATCCTCCTCCGTAGCCATTTTGGCTCAAGTTCGGAAACTGGCCGCGAGGCTTCGAGCTCGCCCGCAGCCGTGCGGCAGGCCCGAGATATCCCTTCCCAGGAGCCTCGGAACCACGACTGCCCATCCAGTGGCCCAGCGGGGCCACCGCATCCACCGCCGCCCCCGCGCCTGCGCCTGGCTGGGCGTTCTCGTGTCGTGTCTCGGCGGTACCTGGTGTGCACCAGGTCGGGTTGCCGCGGCTGGCAATGGCAAAGGGGCGGTGGCGTGCTCGACGTGCGGCGCTAACGCCCACCAGCGCGAGGTGAAGTTTCAGCAGCTGCTTCCGCCCAGCCGTACATCATCTCGACAGCCTCGCCCGCGCGGTCCATCGCTTGAGCACTCGGCGAAGGTCACTTTCGAGACGGGGGGCGGTGGAGGCAATGACGACTCAGACCAGACGGCGGAGTAGCGCCCAGACCCTGTATCGGTGGCCCAGGCGCAGGTCACCTTCTGGAAGAAAGGGGTCGGAGTGCAAGGCAAAGGGGTGCAGCGACGCGCTCGAAACCCTCAAGATGGCCAAGATGGAGGCGCTGCGAGGCAAGAGTCTGGACCAACAGGCCCAGTCGCTGCATGATCAGTGCCAGGCCATGCCAGGCCGCATCGAGGACATCGACGCCGGTTATCGCAGAAGTGGCCTCGCACATCGTTGTTCTGGCGGACCGCTACAAGACCCCCACCAAGGAGCTCTGTGATGCCAAGGAGGAGCTGCAGCAGCTCGAGGCCCAGCGGACCATGGCAGCTCACGCGGAGGCGCAGCAGGCATCAGAGGACACGGACCTCGCGCAGATGGTCTACGCGGCGCTGCAGGCCAAGATCCCAGCAGGAGGAGTGGTGCCGAAGATATTGCAGGTTCAAGTGCAAGAGCTCGCGAGCACGTTCGACCAGCTGCAGCGCCAGCGCGCCGCCGCCGTGTGCATCAATGCCGAGGGTCCAACCACCCCCGCGGCGAAGCCCCCGCAGCCAGCACCGTTGCAGCCGCCGCCGCCGCCGCCTTTCTCAACGCCAACGGCAGCCGCCATCGGCGAGATGGGGCCAGCAGACCACCGACCTGTTGTAGTGGGTTCAGGAGAAGAAGATGACGCAATGGAGTCCGTGGGCTTCGGCAGCGGGGACAAGAGGACCCTCTCATGGACCAGAACGCGGACGAGGATGGCGCGAAGCGCCTGCGTGGTGCCACCGCAGCTGGCTGCACAGCACAGGCGAAGTCGGGCCTTCAACGCGACTCGGCTCGTCACTTTCAACGGGGGCTGCTGGAACACGTTCGAGCAGTTCGTGGAGTCGGACTGGGCCAAGGGCGTCATGCTGGTCTGTGTCCAGGAACACAGGCTCTGCTCGGGGGGCGTCATTGCCTAGGAGGTCCAGTGGTGCTGGCGCAGGGGATGGCTGGCCCACATTCCACCAGCCACAGTCAATGAGGACGGAGAGAAGATCAACGGTGTCGCCATTCTCGTGCGGGGCCATCTTGATCTAGGGGTCGAGACCATGCATTTCGCCAATGACATCGACTCCAGCCGCCTGACGGGCATCTGCCTGGAGGCGCCAGACCTGCTGGAGAGAGGCCTCATAAGCACGTATTTCTTTGCCTCAGAAGGACTCGGCGAGATCAACTTTGGCCTCTTAACAGACATTGCGGTTCAGCAGGACCACCTTCGAATGCCCGTTATCGTTGCGGGCGGCTTCAACTTCTCCCCCAACAAGATCGAATCCCTGGACTTTCTGCATCGGGCCTCCCTGAAGCTGATCGCCCAAGGGGAACCCACCTGTCGGAGACCAAAATCGAGGTCCACCCTGGATTATTTTTTGGTCAGCAGGAGGAGAAAGAGGACGACGAGGAGGAAGAGGAGGAGGAGGAGGAGGAGGGGTGAGGATGAGGGGTGAGGAGGAGGGGTGAGGAGGAGGAGGAGGAGGAGGAGGAGGAGGGGAGAGGAGGAGGAGGAGGAGGAGGAGGAGGTGGAGCAGGATGGGGTGAGGCGCTCGCGCTCGTCGTGGCTCCCGCTGGCCGGCCCCTCGTCAGCCGGGGGCCGGAGCCCAGTGACCCCCCTCCCCCCCGAGCGCGGCCGCCAGGCCCGGAGGCGCTGGGGCGCGCTGCGCGCGCGCTGGCGATAGCCTGCGAGCGCGCGCTCGACCGAGGCTCGCCAGTGCTGGGGGGGGGGCTCGGCGACTACGGTCTAGGCCTCCTCGATGGTGTCCGAGTAGATGGGGTCGGAGGATCGCGCCGTATCGCCGATGCGTCGACGATGCGGCTCGATGTGGAGACCTTGTTTCTCCACGCCGACGTCGCCGATGCATCGCCGACGTCGCCGATGCATCGCCGATGCATCACCGATACATCGGCGATGCATTGGCGATGCGGCGCGATCCTTCGACCCCAGATATTTGGATCCCACCTAGGAGGCATCTATACATACAAAGGGTACGGTTACGCCGGGTGGTGTGGTTTGCGATCGGCACCGTTGGCGCCTGGGGGACACGACACTGTTCTCCTCGGGCCTCCTCGGGGTGCGGGAGAACTCTGTCGAGGTCCCCGCGCGCCCTCTAGGGTGTCTTCCAGGATGTTCTCCAGGGTGCCGGTTGCAGACCACACCCTTTGCAAACCACACCCTTTGGAGTCGCCGAGTGGGCGGTGTGTCCCTCCTGCATTCCTCTGGGCCTCCTATCGGGTATATCCACGACTCCGATTAAGGGGAGCCGGTTGGTGATTGGGCCCCGAAGTCCAAAATGTGGATTGGAATCACTAAACCAGGTCTGCCGTAGCTGGTGCTTTTCGGGTGATGGCAGTTCCAGTGAGTTGAATGGGGCGGGGGGGGGCGTCCTCCGGTAAACATCACAAAACCAGGTCCCATTCAACCCAGTCCTGGCAACGCCCAGTCCTCAATGGGGTCCGAGGAGATGGGGTCGGAGGATCGCGCCGCATCGCCGAGGCATCGGCGATGCAGCTCGATGCGGAGCCCGATTTTCCCCACCTCGACGTCTTCGATGCATCGCCGACTGCGCGCATGCATCGCTGATGCATCGCCGATGCATCGGCGACACGTTGTCGATCCAGTGAAATCCTCCGATCCCATTTATCATCTATTCGGACCCCACCTAGGAGGCCTCTAATCCCTCAGCTCGACTCGACGTAAGAGTGACCTTTCGCTGGGGTGACCTCGATGGTGCGGGCCCAGTGGGGTCCCCCGATCGCTGAGTGCGAAGCGGTAGCAGTGGCTTGCGCGCCCAGGTTTGGCCACCCCGCGTCCCCCGCGAAGCCGCGCACCAAGTGGCACTTTTGCTTAGGGTCACTCTTGCGTGTAGCCTAATCCCCAGACCCCTTCGCGTTGTGAATAATTCACGACGGGCGTGTTTCTGCTGTTTTCGGCCTCCGTGGACATTTGCCGGGCCTCGGAGTCGTCAGAAAACGATTCAGGATGAAAAACCGGCCTGGCGTCGACGCTGTGAACAAAATTACGACGTCAGAGGCCAGGGGTCTGGGACCGCCTCATCTCCTCCTCCTCCTCCTCCTCCTCCTCCTCCTCCCTCTCCCCTTCCCCTCCTCCCTCTCCTGCCTCCCCCTTCTGTCATCCTTCTCCGTCTCCTCCTCCGTCCTTCCCTCTAGAAGTCGCGCGCGCCTGCGCATCTGCCCAGACACGACAGGCTCAAGCTTGATGGGGGTACCCGCAACTGCCCCTCCTTTCTCCCTCCCTCCTTCCCCTCATCTTCCGTCTTCCTCCTCGCCCTCGTCATCCTCCCGCCACCGTCCACTAATCATCCTCCCCCATCGCTGGGGTGTGCCGGAAGTGTGCGGGGATATCGCGCGCGAACGCTCCAGCTCGCGTTTCGCGGGTGGAGCCACCCCCCGATGAGGGCAACGCTCCTCTTGAGGGGGTGCACGGAAACGGGTGGCCGGACCGCATGCGGGCGCACCCACTGGCGCCGCAGGTGGAGCTGGGGCTCCCGGCAGGGCCTCGAACCGTGTGATGGGGTGTGCCGACAGGGGCGCGCGAGGAGCAGAGGGAGGGGGAGGACAGCGGGTGGGAAGGAGACGTGCGGCGCTGCGAAGCCGAGGCGAGGACCCACCAAGACATTAGCGTTGGAGAGACGAAGCGAGTCGAATGACGCGAAGGCGTCTGCCAACCGGCCGCGGCGGGGCGCATGGAAGCTCACGGGCAGAGCAAGTGAGACGGGCAATATGGAAGCACCCCGCAGCCGATGAGAACATGCAGCGGCCGCCTGCGTTGAGGCAACAGAGCTGTCGGGCCCGTTCAGGATGGAAACCGCCGCAAGGGGGAGAAGGGGAGGACGCGACCGACGGGAATAGGACGGAGAGGACAGAGGGAGGAGGACGAGAAGGAGGACACGGGGATTGCAACCTGGGCCTTGCCATGATGCCATGCTGTTTGTGCGGAAACGCGCCTGAGCCTTTGCAGACCGAGTGGGACAGGCAGTACGGAAGAGCACTCTGGACGATGGCCAGCCGACGAGAACATGCAGCTGTGCCTGTGTCCCGGGGACAAATGTTAGTGACCGTTTTGGGTTTAGCTGGTGATGATACACACCACCACCGCCACCACCGCCACCACCGCCACATTCACCACCACCATCACCGCCACCACCACCACCACCACCGCCACCACCACCACCACCACCACCACCACCACCACTACAACCACCACCACTACAACCACCACCACCACCACCACCACCACCACCACCACCACCACCACCACCACCACCACCACCACCACCACCACCACCACCACCACCACCACCACCACCACCACCACCACCACCACCACCACCACCACCACCACCACCACCACCACCACCACCACCACCACCACCACCACCTCCATTCCTCCTCCCTCCTCTTCCCTCCTCCTCCCTTTCCTGGGAGAGGGAGGGGGTGACGGAGGCGGTGGCAGTGTATGTTTGTGGGCCACTTCCTCGTCCAAGCATGCCCGACGACGCCTGCGAGTGTTTCTGTGGCATTGCTGTGTGTCACAGCGCCAACCGACCATGTGATCTCTGAGGGTCTGCGCCCGGAGCCGCGGGCCTTCCATGCTGAGCCACCGTGCGACCGTTCTGGGAAAGCGTTGGGGCCGTCTTCGCCCATCTTGAGGCATCCTTGGGGCTCTTAGCTTGAAGTTTCTGGGGCCTCCATCGGGCCATCTTAGACAAGATTGTAGATATCTTGGGAGTCTTGGGGACCCATACTGGGGACATCCTGGGGCGCGGCCTTGGGACATCCTTGGACACCTTGGAGTCGTGCTGGGCGATCTGGGAGGCATTTCCGAGCCTTGGGAGTCCTTTGGTCGCCACTTTGCGGGCGTCATGGGCAATTTCGGGGGTAATGAGGCCGCCTTTGAACGATCTTCTCACACCGTGGGAGCAGAACGCGGGAGAGGTAACAAACATTGAACACGCGATTTGGAATTTCAATGTTCATTGCCCTCTGGGGGGCATCTTGGGACCCTCCTCGGCCATCGTAGAGGCATGTAGGGTCTTGGGCTCTTGAGCCTCTTTTCGAGGCGTCGAAGGCCCCTCGTGGGGGCCACTTGGACCTGCCCGGCGCCTGGTGGCACCTTTTTCTGAGATCCATGGGGCACGCTAGAACGGCCAGGAGGTTGAGTGACCCTCACCCCCAGGTGGCGTATTGTGCTCCCAACCCTCCTGAGTTGGGTTCTCGTTCCTAATGTAGCACTGTGGTCGCGTCTTCCCCTTATGTTTCCTTCTTCTCTTCCTCTCTCCTCCCTCCTATCTCCTCTCTCCTGCCCTGTTTCTCTCTCGTGGGCTTCTGGGAGGGGGGACCTGTGTGAAACTGTCGTAACTTTTGTGGGCTCCTGGGAGGTCACGCGCGGCTCCTTGGGGGGCTGCGAAGTGTGATAATTGTCGCCGCGTCCATGGGCTCCTGGGACTTCGCGCGGAGTGGAGTTACACGGGGATCCAGTTGAGACCTCGCGGCTCCCTGGGGGGCTGCGAAGTGTGATAACGGCCGCCACGTCGGTGGGTTCCTGGGATGTCGCGCGGAGTGGAGTTACACGGGGATTCAGTTGAGACCTCGCGGCTCCCAGGGAGACTGCGAAGTGTGATAATGGCCGCCTTGTCCGTGGATTCCTGCGCCCTGCGCCGAGCTCAGCGCGACGCGCTGTTTTGCTTCTGTCCCGCGTATGTGGCGCTCGGCGCTGTTACCGTCACTGAACACGAATGTTCCGCCTTACCCTCCTCAGCATGCTTCTGTCGCCGTCCCTATTTTGCCATCTCCGCGTGTTGATGCTATGACCTCTGGGAGCTCATGCGTACTGCGAGTCCTTCATGTTTGCTTCTAGTGAGTGTTCCTATATATGTATATACACACATACATATATATATATACACATTCGCCTTCTGTTTAGAAAGGGTTGGGTACGTCACCAGGTAGTTGTGTCTCTTTCCCGAGACCGTCAACCGGAGAGAGAGGGCCGCAACACATAGGGATCACACGTAAAGTCAACACCAACACAAATGCGCCAACACAAGACATCAGTCCAGCAGCACTCATCATTGCCTTGCGCCCTCAAGGGGTCAGTGGGTCTTCGGTCGTACGCTATCTAAGGCCTTCGGCCCATCCCGCCACCGTGCCCCTGAGTTGTGGGTCATCTATCTCTGGGATGTCGTGGGGGGCCTTTCGGGGGTCTGTTGGAGGCAGGTTTGAGGCCTCCTGGGGGACGTTTTGGGGCCTTTGGCGCGTCTTGGGTGCCTCTTGGGGGCATCATTGGGCCTCCTGGGGGAATCTTGTGTCGTAAAGCTCAAGTTGTCGGTTAGGGCTCCCATTTGGGGCCGCAAAGGAATGCTCTTGGGCTGTTTTGGCGCCTCTTGGGCCGACTTAGGGTCCTTTTTCGCCGTCTTGCGGCCCTCTCGAGGTCCTGACGGGCCGTCTTGGAGCGATCTTCGGGGCGTCTTTGGCCATCTTGAATTCCGTGAGGCCGAACAGTCGTATATGCTAAATCAGCCCGTTTCCCCAAGCGGGTTGGACGATTTTTGCCTCGTGGGGCTCTCTCGGGAGGCCTCTTGGGCCTCTCTTGGGGCGTCCTGGGCTCCTTCTCAGCCGCCTTCGGGCCATCTCGGTCGTCTCGGGCCGCTCGTTCGGCGATGCGGGGCCCTCTCCTGGGCTGCCCTGGGGTCCTCCTGGGGCCTTCGTTGCCGGTCTCGTGGCCCTCCTGGACTGTCTTGGGGGCCTCTCGTGGGGGCCTCCTGGGGCCCCCTCGTTGCCCGTCTCGTGGCCCTCCTGGGCCTCAAAAAAGGCATGCGCCGGGCCGCGGCGGGGCCTGTGGGGGGCACGCGCGAAGCCCGGGGAGGTGTTTGAATTTTGGGGTCCGGGCCCCGGGCTGAGGACCTGAGGACCTCCTCCTCCTCCTCCTCCTCCTCCTCCGCCTCCGCCTCCGCCTCCTCCTCCTCCTCCTCCTCCTCCTCCTCCTCCTCCTCGTCCTCCTCGTCCTCCTCCTCCTCCTCCTCCACGCTGACTCGTGCCTCGGGGCACGGTGGCAGAGCAGGACGAGGGGGTGTCGGCTTCAGCGTACTAACAGCACATGTCTGCCTCATTCTGTGCAGAACGCCGATCTCTGATTCTCAGACAGCGGGCGTCCAGTGGTCGCATTGGGGCCAGGCATGTGTGCAATACTTCTAACTTCACCACCCACCAAACCACCCCAACCCAACCCGAAGGCTCAAATTTACCCTCGATTTCCAGTGGGGGGGGGTCGGGAAACGTCGAAAAAACACATGTGGAACCCTTACCCCCCCCAACCCGAAATTCGGGTCTTCGGGTTGGGTTGGGGTGGTCTGGTAGGTAGTCAGACAGCGGGCGTCCAGTGGTCGCATTGGGGCCAGGCATGTGTGCAATACTTCTAACTCAGAAGCAATGCAACAGGACGGTGAGGCGAACGTATCACAGAGAACGCAGTTTCGAGAACGCAGCGCTGTCGCGCTCACGCTCAGCTGAGCGACGCCACCAAACGTGGTCGTCTGCGTCGACATTGGCGCGTAAGCTGTGGGCGTAAGGTCGCTCGTGAACGCCTTCGTCTCCAGTGTAGCGTGCCTCGCTGGCGGCCCGCGTAAGCTGCGGCGTAAGGTCGCTATCTCGTCTCGCGTGAGACCCTTTCTATTCGTCGCTCAGGTGCACTATGTTAGTTACGAAATGTGGACATTCACAGCAGGTGACATTCACGGCTGTGTGTACATGCAGGTCTTATTCTGTGCGCCTCCCTCTCGCATTGAATTTCGAAGCTTCGTGCTTCTGATTGTGTTCCTTCTCCTCCTCCTCCCTCTTCTCCACCTCCTCCTCACCCCCTCCCTCCCCCTCCCCCTCCTCCTTCTCCTCCTCCTCCTCTTCCTCCTCCTCCCAAGGTGAGCGGGAATTTGCACGCGACTGTCCGTTGCCAGATTGTTGGTTTTCCACAGCCGTGGTTCAAGCCAGAGTCGATAAGCCAATGCTTGTTGAGGCATACGTCGTTGAGATTTCAGGCTGGTCTTTGTCTGAGTGTTTGTGCTGTCTCCCAGTAGCTTCGGGACCGTCACATGTCCATGGGCGCGCTAGGAGGAACGGTTCCTGATCTCATGGAGGAGCCCATTTCAGGATCGCTATTGCCTGTTGTTCTGGAGGATGATTCGAGTTGTCGGCCCAGTTTGCTCCTGGGAGCAGGTGTGCGAGTTAAGCGATTTGCTGTGATTGACGTCCAGATTTACGTACTCAGCGTCTACGGTCAGCACGACAAGATTTTTGGTGAATCAGAGGCTGATGATAATGGCATGCCAGTCTCCCCTCCAGTAACCAGCCGCATGTCAGCAGATCAACTTATGCATCGTTTGCTAAGCTCACCTGCAGAAAAGGTACTCTGTCTAACATTTCTGCGGTCAATCACTGGGAAGCAGGCGTTCGACGGCCTCGTAGAGGGCTTGGTGAAAATTGGTGGCGCGCCAAAAGAGGAGGTTGAGGAACTCAGGAACCACATACCGCTGCAGATCCCCAAGGCATCTGAACTGCGTTTCGTAGTGAAGCCCCAGCTTGGCGAAGTTCGTTTCAGTTGTTCGGTGGTGCCTGATGGAGAAAGAAGCTTTACGCTCCCTGGAGTATGCGAAGGCATTCACAAAGTGTATTTTGGACCTGACAGTATTGTTCAAGGCTTGGGGACTTCGTTGCTCCATCAAAGGCCCATCCATGCAGCTCGAAATAGGATTGATAGGTGCAACAGTGGACAGTCAGACTCTTTGAGTTCCACTGCCGGCAGTGTTTCACACTTGGAATCAGATTCGGGTGAGTCCCCAGCACGCGCGCGAATTCAGGCTTGTCCTGAAACTGAATGTGGCTTGGCTACTATCAGCTCTGGCGTGGAATTGAACTTCCTTGCGAAAGGGAAGCAAGGCACCACCAGCGCATCCAGCGAGGCTGCTGCACACTTGAACGCTTGCAATCCGCATGGAGCATACGATTCAGCAGCTCTTGTGAAAGCGTGCTTGAAACAGACAAGCCAGATATTACCGGGGGAGGTGGAACCTTGGCCTGGGGCGATGAGGATATCAGTGGAAGAGTCGGTTGCGCCGTGGATTGTTTACCCCGACGTGTCTGATTACGACGACGAGAAGCTGCGCTCGCAGAACATCCAGGGCATTTTCTACAAGCACCACACGTCATCCCTCCGGGGCGCACTGGCACCCAAGTGGACCACACGCCACTACGAGCTGCAGTCAGGAGTCCTGCGCTATCGGAGGCGTGTCGGTGGAAAGTATCCCGGCTGCCTGCGGCGCGTCCCGCCGCCGGTCCGGCGCGGCACTCTCGGTGGTCCTTGCGCGCGCGCGAGTTGGGAGGCCCTAGCGTGTGACACCTCGAACTGCGATATAGGTTGACTCCCTGCGGCGACGGTGGAAGCGAGCCCAGAGAGCCGTCGCGGGTGACGCATCGCCGGACGTTGGGGCTTTCTGGGCCTGTCCCAGTGCTCTCTGCGGCGACCGCTCGGGCAGCGCCGACGGGCGGCACACGTGATGCCTCCGCCCTTTCCAGTCCATCTTGCATTGCCGCGGTTCACTCATCACGGAGCGGAGTGGCACGTTGAAGCGATGACAGTATTTGAAGACGATGTTCATGGTGACCACGATTATGGTTATGTTGTTGACGACGATGATGAGGATGATGATGAAGGCGATGCTGATAACGATGATAGTGATGATAAATCTTAAGGCGATAATGGTGATTTTGATGATGCTATTAGATGTGATGATACGGAGGGCGGGGAAGAGGAGGATACGGTGGAGTTGGACTGTTGCATGTTACACCTTTCGTATTCACCTCTCGACGAGCTCTCACGAAACTTCTTTGGATTGTCTTGTGGCTGTCCTGGGCTCCTGTGGGGTAGTCTTGGGGTCCCTCAGGGCCCTCTTGGGCCGTCTGGGGCCCTTTGTGGCCATCTTGGGGCGCTCTTGAGTCCCTCGTGGTTGCTGGGGGATCTCTTGGGGCCGTCGTGAGGCCGTCTTGCGCCGTCCAGGGGTCATTTTGGGCCGTCGTGGGTCCCTCCAGAGGCCCTCTTAGGCCACCTCGAGGTTCTCTTGGTCTCGTCCTGGGCCTTCCAGGAACCTCTCGGGCCGTCTTGAGGCTGCTTCGGGAGCCTCTTTGACTCTCTTGAGGTCGTCTTGGATCCTCGTAAGGCCACTTTGGAGGCCTTTTGGGCCACCTTGAGCCGGCGGAAGGCCGTGCAGGCGAGAATGCGAGACACATGAAATTTTCGAGGGTTCATCAATGATTTTGGCACCATCGGGCCCGGCCAAGGATTATCTTGGAGCGGTCTTGAAAGCCTCTTGGGCAGTCCTAGCGCCGTTTTGGGGCTGCCTTGGTGCAATATTGGGTCGTCTTGGAGATATCTCTGGAGGGAAAAAACACACAGACACAATTAATCGTCGATTCCCCAGAAAATATGGGAAACTATGGGAAGTGGGGGGGAAGACAACAACCCAGAACATATAAGAACATATGGGGAATAGTTTAATTTGTGTGTATTTATTTGTGTGTCCTGGGGCCCCTTCAATATCTCGGGCCCTCGTGGCGGCCTTGGTGGTCTGCCTGGGCCATCGCGGAAGCCACCGTGGTCGTTGTCGACTCCTCGGGGAGCGCCAGGGGCGTGTCTCGGCGCCGACAGAGGCCTGGCATCGCTCGGGCGTGTGCATTTTTCCGTCGGCGAGGACCATCGAGGAGCATCCTTGATCATTTGGCGAAAAACCACGCACGAAACCTAAAAAAAACACAGGGAATGGACGTCCGAGCGATGGCCAGTCTTTGGAGAGCGCCAGGGGCGTGTCTCGGCGCCGATGGAACAGAGCCCCCACAGAGGCGGGGTGATGCGCGCGGGCCAGCGCTTCGAGAGGGGGGGGGGTCCCTGGGAGATTAGAAAGAGCGTGTTCTACCGCTGCTGGCGGAAAACCGGGGGGGGTCACTACCGGTTCGAACCCCTCCCCCCCCCCTCCGGAAAACCGGGGGGGGTCACTACCGGTTCGAACCCCTCCCCCCCCCCCCCCCAGCTCATCATGAAAAGGGGGGGGGGTCACTACCGGTTCGAACCCCCCCCCCCCCCCTCGAAAACCGAGTGGGGGTGCGGACAGTGGTGGGGACGGTGTTGGTGGGGACAGTGGTGAGGGGACAGCGGGACAGTGGTGGGGACAGTGTGGGACAGTGGTGGGGACGGTAGTGGTGGGGACAGTGGTGAGGGGATAGCGGGACAGTGGTGGGGACAGTGGGACAGTGGGACAGCGGTGGGGACGGTAGTGGTGGGGACAGTGGTGGGGACAATGGTGGGAACAGGGGGGGACAGTGGACAGTGGTGGTGACGGTGGTGGTGGGGACAGTGGTGTGGGGACAATGGGAATGAGGTGGAAACAGTGGGACAGTGGAGGGTACAATGGTGGTGGGGACAGTGGTGAAGGCGGTGGCGAGGACGGCGGTGGGACAATGGGACAGAGGTACAGTGGGGACAGTGGTGGGGACAGTGGGGACAGTGGTGGGAACAGTGGGACAGCTCAGTGGGACAGCGGAGGAGTCAGTGGGACAGTGGGGACAGTGGGGATAGTCGGGCAGTGGTTGGGGCCGTGGAGACAGTGGGGAGAGTGGAACCGTGGTGGGAACAGTTCTGGGGACAGCGGGGACAGTGCGACAGTGGTGGGGCCACTGGTGGGGACAGTAGGGGCGGTGGTGGAACCAGTGGGGACAGCGGTGGTGAGGACAGTGGTGCTGGGAACACCAGTGGGGGATGTGATGCGGACGGTGGTGGGGACCGGGAGTCGTTTGCTGGCGGTGAGTAGGGGGGGGGGGGGGGGGGGGGGTAGGGGGGGGGGGGGGGGGGGGGGGGGGGGGGGGGTTCGAAACGGTAGTGACCCCCCCCGGTTTTTTCCAGATCGGAGGGGGGGGGGGGGGGGGGGGGGAGGGGTTCGAACGGTAGTGACCCCCCGGGTTTGGTTTTTCGAGCGGGAGGGGGGGGGGGGGGGGGGGTGTTAGGAGAGGGGGGGGTTTTGCCGGGGGGAGAGGGGGGGGGGGGGGGGGGACGTGGTTCCGGCAGGGGGGGGGGGATTTTCGGAGGGGGGGGGGGGGGAGACCCCCGGGTTCCGGAGGAAAAGGTTGGCAATTTTCCACAGTAAAGCGGCGGTGGATCACGCTCTCTCGGAGATTACACAATCTCTACCCGACAGCACTCTGGACTCCAGCACGCCTCCACGTGCCAGGGGGGGCACGGTGGCGGCTTGCGGAGACGTTTCCCTGGTTGGTGCGAGGGTGGTTGCTGAGGGCCCGAAGGTATCTCGACTTGGCGAGTGCTTCTTTTTCAAAGTCATCGTGAACCATACGACTGCTGTCACGCTCTCTAGCCCAGACAAGAGCCTGGCTACCGAATGGGTCCATGCAGTTGCGGGGGCCTGTGCCTTCTACAGGGCTCGCCGTTGCATTGCCGCCGGCGTGCTCTTCGCACATGGCGACAGCGGTGGCTCCAGTAAGGGGAGTGCAAGCGAATCTCCAGGCACGTCGTTTTCTGTGGACAACAGCGCGTCCAGTGAGGGAAGCCAGCCGCAACGCCAGGTCCAAGCAGCCCAGCAATTGCCAGTCTCGTCAGCTGCCCCACTAGATCCAAAACACCTGGTGGTGGCCGTGTCGTTCAGTGAGGGAAGCCAGCAGCAACGTCAGGTCCAAGCGCCCCGGCAGGGTGCACTATCGTCATTCGGCTTTGGAGACCCAAGAATGATGCTGGCAGCCGTGACGCCACAGAGGGTTCTACCTTGGAGGCGCATCGGATTGTCAATCCTCTCAACGCTATTGGTTTTGTTATTGGCGAGGCGCAGGCGTCGTGTGCAGCGCTGACGGGTCGAAGCACTGCGCAAGCTAGTTCGCCACGCGGCTGGCAATTCTTCACGCTTCGCGTATCCCCACCAGCCAATTCAGACACGTTGCCGATGAGAGATGACGGGGAACTGGGGAAAGGATCCTGAAGCGATGCCTGGGCGAGTTGCCTTCTTCAGGAAAGTGTAGAAGTGTGCTGTGGAACATCTGCGCAGGAACAGGAGGAGGATGGGGAGGAGGAGATGGAGGAGATGGAACAGGAGGAGGATGAGGAGGAGGAGGAGGAGGACGAGGGGGAGGAGGAGGAGGAGGGAGGAGGAGGAGGAGGAGGAGGAGGAGGCGAGGGGGAGGAGGAGGATGACAAGGAATGCGAGGAGGAGATGGAACAGGAGGACGAGCACGGGAACGAGGATGGGGAGGAGAACGAGAAGGAGGAAGAGGACGACGAGGACGAGGGAAAGGTCGATGAGGAGGAGGAGGTGATAATGAGGATGAGGCGGCACAGAACGAAGATCATGAGAACGAGGGGGACGATAAGGGGGAGGAGCAATAATGAGGATGAAGATGAGGATGAGGATGATGATGAGGATTCAGATGATGTTGACGATGATGATGATGATGATGATGATGATGATGATGATGATGATGATGATGATGATGATGATGATGATGATGATGATGATGATGATGATGATGATGATGATGATGATGACTGATGATGCTGATGATGATGATGATGATGATGATGATGATGATGACGATGACGATGATGATAATGATGATGATGACGACGAGGAGGAGGAGGAGGAGGATGATGATGATGATGATGATGAGGAGGTGAGATGATGAGGATGAGGATGAGGATGAGAGGAAGAGGAGGAGGATGATGCTGCTGATGCTGATGATGATGATGATGCTGATGCTGATGCTGATGATGATGATGATGATGATGATGATGATGATGATGATGATGATGATGATGCTGATGATGAGGAGGAGGAGGAGGTGGAGGAGGATGAGGAAGATAATCAGGAGGAGGGAGAGGAAGAGGACAGCTCTCAGCATGGAGACCCGGACTCTGGCAGGCATCGTGGGGTATTCCTGATGCTTGTTTGGCGTCCTCTTGGGGCTGTCTCGGGCTCTGTTGAGGCCCTCGTTCGGGGTCTTGGGGCCCTTTTGATGCGTTCGTGGGGGTATTGAGGCCATCTTGGGGCCGTCTTGGGAGCCTTGGAAGGCATCTTGTGGCCATCGTGGGGGCCATTTGTCAAAGGGGGGGGCCTAATTCGATTCCCCCCTCGAGCGCCTTCGAAGCCGCCTCTCGGGGCCCCCGTAGGGCCGTCTTGGGGCCCTCTAGGGGCGCTCTTGGCGCCGTCTGGGGGGCCCCTTGGGCCACTCTGAACGAAAAGGCAAGACGGCGAAACTCATTGACTTTCCTTAGGTGCTTGCGCGAGTTCGGCTTCTTTGGAGGGTCCTGTGAGGGGGTCCGAGAGCACCTGATGCCGTCTTGGGACGGTCTTTGGGGCCTCCTGGGGCATGTTGGAAGCCATCTTGGGTCACCGTCGGCTATCTTGAGCCGTTTTTGGGGAGCATCTTGGAGCATCGGAGGGCCTCTTTGGGCCATCTTAGGCGAACAACGACTCTCTGATAGATTCAAGCACTGCGCAAACTAGTTCGCCACGTTGCTGGCAGTCTAGCTCGGCGCGGTTTCTCCTCACTGTGCTCAGAGCCCCTCGGACATGCTGCATGACTTGTTGCTGCGGGCCTCTCATGATGGCTGTGAATTCGCAGTCGAGCCGAGGACGCAGCCGCTAGCTCGTCTTGCTGCCAGGCGCTCTGCTCGAGCTCCTGCCCTTGCTGCTGCCAGCGGACGGCGGGTTGGTGTCGTGGTGTCACGGTATCCCCATGCCGTGATGGCGCAGCGCCGGGGCGAATGGATGGCCAGGCTTCGTGTACGAACACGGCCTTGCTTGGCTTAGTCATCCGATCGGTTGTTGGCTTTGTTGCCTGAGTGGGTGTTTCCAGCGGCCGTGGCTCAGATTGTTGGCCTCGGCTCTCGACGCCAGCGTTCGGCCTGTTGCGGTGCCGTGTCGTTCGCTGCGTTTTTGGGCCGCTCTATGTTTTTGTTGTCGGCAGTTGGTTCCGCCTGTGCTCTCAGGCGATGTCCCCCAGTGCCCGAGCTCCCCCAGCAAGAATCTTGCGTCGTGCCGTCGGGAGTGTCCTCTCGGGGATGTCGTGGGGGCTTCTTGGGGACCTCTTTGGCCATGCTGGGCCTCGCCCCTCTTGGATTGTCCTGGACCCCCCTTGGGGCTAGCCTGGGGCTGTCCTGGGCTGCCTGCGGGGCTTCTGAGGGCCCTCGTGTGCTTTTGGTGCATGCTTTTGCTTCCTCGGCGGCCTTCTCAGAACCATCTTCAGCCGAGAGGGCCGGGAAACGCACACGACTTCACATCCGATTGGTTCTCTCCAGGGTTTTGAAGGACGGGCGGTCTTCTCTCTGGTGTCTGGAAAGCCTCTGAGCGTCTGTTTGGCGCCTTTGTGACTCTGCCTGTACAGTGGGGACCCATGCCAAGAGGCACCCTGCTGGCCTCCAGGGTGCCCTGGGGTTCCCGGGTGTTGACGGTGTTGCGATTGAGAGCGTGACGTCTCCAAACCAAAGGTCAGTGGACGTTCTGGGGTCTCAGTGGTGGAAGGCCTCTCTCGAAGAAGAACAACCGCATACACAGTAAACTGTTTGGCGCTCCGCGCGGATTTCTTGGATCCGCGCTGGGCCACCCCCCCGGCGGCGCCTCCGGCGCCGCCCCGAGGGGGGTCCGGCGCAAATCCGAGAAGCCCGCGCGGAGCGCCACGAGTTTATAATCACGGCGTGGTTTCTTTTTTATGTTTGGGGTCGAGCTCCTACAGCGCCGGTTGTTAGTACATGGTCCGCGTGCGGATCATGTATTAAAAATGCAGGGATGTAGTGTTAAAAACAACGATGAGTTCGTGCATGCATTTATTCATACATTAGTCATGTATTAAAAATCCTATATTACAAATCCTGTGTATTAAGAACTGCCCCGTACTGCCTGCTGGGTCTCTATTGAAGCAGCGCCGTGCCGCCCTCGCAGCCGCGATGGAGGTCCTCTGAGGGCTCTGCGGAGGGCGTCGGGGCAGGGAGAGGCGGCGGGCCGTGTGCGGCGGCGGAGCGCACGCGCTTTGGAGCGCGAGGAGCGCAGAGCGGAGGCCCCTGCCAAGAGACACCCTCCTCCTCCTCCTCCTCCTCCTCCTCCTCCTCCTCCTCCTCCACCCTCTCCTCCCTCTCCTCCTCTCCTCCTCCTCCTCCTCCTCCTCCTCCCCTCCTTCTCCTCCCCTCCCCTCCTTCCCCCTCCCCCTCCCCCCCCTCCTCCTCCCCCTCCTCCTTTTTGCCCGTCCTGGCGCTTCTCGACTCTTCGTGCCGACCCCCCGGGGGCCCATGCCAAGAAACAGCCTGCTTGTGTCCAGGGTACCCTGGTGATAGTTTTCTGATTCATTGTTTTGCCGACTGGCGTGGGCCCTCGCACCCCGTCCCCCATGGAGTATATCTTGGCTGTTTCTGACGTCTGTTTCAAGCAGGTGGAGTCTCCCGCATAGGACGCACTGTTGCAACCAGTTGCATTAAGCAGAGGCCCAGAGCCACACACACACACACACACACACACCCCTCCCCCCCTTCTGCCCAAGGTCGACACGCCGAATCAGAAAATGTTGACTTGGGTTTCCTGGGTTTCGATGGTTTTGTTATGGGAAGCGTGACCTTCACACACCAAAGATCAGTGGACGTCCTGGGATCTCAGGGTTGGGTTTCTCGTGGAAGGTTTCTTGTGGACTGGCCTCCACTGTAGAGGGGGGGCCTCTGAAGACCTACAGGAACGCTACCAGGCAGCATTCCTCATTGTAGCACGCCTCAACGTGCCAGAGGGCACGGTAGCGGATGCTTTTCATGAGTTCTGCGTGCCAGTCGCAAATTTGAGCTCTAGCTGTGAAGCCTGATTTTGCGCACGCCTTCCGTTGGCTGTCCTTTTGTATTTCAACGTTCGCGCCATCTGTATCTGAACATGCAGACGTCGCTTGAACATGTTACTTCGCTTCAAGGCTGTCATGGCTTCGTAGCTTAGGCGCATCTGCAATCCGTTGTTCGCAGTATCGGTTCTAGCTGAGCTTCTGCTGTGGCTTTGTTTGGTGCTCCGCCGTAAGTCTCAGCTTGAAGCACCTTTGCCAGATATCGGCTTGCGTGCTCTCGGTGGAAGATTGTGAGGGTACAGTTGGAGGCATGCGAGTTTTCGGTCACAACTCATGGGAGCCTGGCGTGCCCTCTTCATTTTGTCTTTTGCGTCGACTAGCCACGACTAGCGTCTGGGAGTTGATGAGGTAACGTAGATTTAGCGTCGGTTAGCGTCGATCAGCGTCGATTCAGCGTCGATTCGCATCGAATCGCAGGAGCCGACAAGATGCTGCGGGAGGCCCCCACGACTTGCCACCAGAAGAGCTGTATATTGTGTCGGAGGCAAACAACATTGCATAACCATATGATTCGGTTCTGCTTGCGACGCTGGTTGACAGGTTGCCTGGTCCGAGTAAGTTTCAGGCCTGGAGGGATTGATCATCGGTTGGGGCAGATGCCTCATCCTGTGGCTGTCGCCCGGGGAGATAATCGCGGCGACCTGGCTACACCCGGTGGGGAAGTTGGGTACCAGAGGGACTCTTCGAATCGCTCGCGCGCCTCACGTGTTGTTCGGTTCTGCACGCTTCGCGCATTCTTGGCAGCCACTCGGGGGTGATCGAGATGTTGTGAGCAAGGGAGGTGGATGAAGAGAGGGTCACTGGCCGAACCAGGAGGAGGTGTCTGGGGCCCCCCTGGGAGTTCTTCAGATGCCTCGTGGAGCCATCCTGTGGCTCTCGTGGGGTCCTCTTGGGAGGCCTGCAAAGTTTTGCAGGGGTTCGCGGGGTCCTGCAGGGTCACTGCTCGGATCAGCAAGTTCGTTGCAGCCGTCTGGTTTGTAGCCTAT